TTGCATCGCATGCCATTTTGGCACCACCAGTTTTGATGGCACCTGCGGTTACCCGGGAGAAGGGCCCCCACAAGAGCACTTCACACTCGTTTCTGCCAATGTAGGGTCGGTCCGAACAAACCATGACTGGAAGTCTTGGGACGCCCAGGCCATTTGCTTGCAAGAAACAAGAATCGGCCGTAATAATCACAGAACGGCCACTTTCTCTTTCCAGGAGTTCGGGTTTCAACCGGTCTATGGTTCCCTGCTGTCAGGGGTCATTCATGCAACAGGTTGGACACAGACACCATGTGGCGGGACTGCGGTTTTAGGTCCCAAGTGTGCCACGCAACCCTTTTGCCAACAGCATGATTGCACAGGGCTCTTCAAGAAGTTGTATGACACCAAAAGACTTGCCTTCGCTTGGATCCAGGTTGCACCCCAGATCAAGGCTTTGGTCATCTCACTCTATGCTGTTACGGGGGCTTCTCAAGACCAAAAACTCCACGATGAAAACAACTCTTTGCTGGAGGATGTGTTTCAGCTGACCTCCCAGTTTGGTTCCATCCCAGTGATTCTTGCAGGGGACTTCCAAGCCTACCCCTTGTCATATGCCGCCGTTTCGTCCGCTGTCACCATTCATGGGTGGAGCGACCCACTCACGTCAGTTGATAACGATGGACTTTTCGAACGGCCCAACACCTTTTCCAGGGATGGTGTTTTCAGTGGCGTTGGTGAAGCATGCACATCCATTGACGCCATCCTTCTTAATCGGATGGCTTTTCTTGCCCTGCACAAATGCGAAGTGCTTGAGATTAATGGTAGACAGCACAGACCACTTCGATGCGAGTTTAACTGGAGATCCATTATGCAGGTTGGTTTCTTTCACTATAAATTCGCACCATTGCACTGTGAGAACGTGTCTTTTCCAACACCACAGGCTTCCACTGCCTTGGACCCACCCCCTGTTAACCCCAGCCACCAGGGCTGGACTGAAGGTTGGGATCAAGCCTTCAATACCACAGAGGACCCAGATGCCAGATGGGGGGTTGTTAATGATTTTCTGATCCATAGCCTACTGCAGGCAGGAGCCTATTGGGGGGACGGACCACGCACAAGAGCACAAGCACCGATTTTTCGTGCCAAGTCCATTTGTCCCAGGCAATTGCCCAACAAGTGTGCTGCCACTATGCGGGGGAGACTCCTTGCCAACCTCCAATCAAGGGTTGATGAGCTTTTCATTCGGCATTCGCGTGGCCATTGTTCTGATCAAGACCGTTTTGTCGCACAGCGGACGGCCACAAAGATCATGCATGGTCTCACGCTGCTTAAGGCCCCCATTTCTTGGCCACCCTTCCATGAAATCACACTGGTGCACATCCAAGGTGTTAAAAAATGGGTCGTTGAGCAAACCGAGATCCACACCAAAGAGATCAAATACAGTCGTATTAAAGCATGGAAGGCAAAATTGCAGCAATCAGCCCAGTCGGGTTGCCGCCATGTTTTCCACCACCTAAAAAATCGGCTGTATGACGAGCCCCCCCAATTTGGTTCAAGACGATTCTGGTAACATCATTTACCAACCCAATGAGGCTTTGCGGTGTCTTAATGATAAATGGGACTCAGTTTTTGGCATTAATGCAGGTCATGATGATGCCCTACAAGTCCTCCAGGTCGTCTGGCCTTACATACATGAAGATGTCCACCACGTTGACCTTCCACCCATTGACGAAAACGCCCTGTTTCAAGTCATTCAGAAGAGGAAGAAAAATGCGGCCCCAGGCCTCGACGGTTGGAGGACACAGGAGCTACAGGCCCTACCGGCTTATGCCCTCCGCCCTGTTGCTAAGTTCTTCAATTGGGTCGAAGAGACACTCGGTGATAATCTCCCCAAAATGTTAACCTGCACTAAGCAAATCATACTCCACAAACCAGGTCCAGCTGACGCCATGAACAAACGTCTCATCACGATCCTGCCAGCGCTTCTCCTGTGCTACACTGGGGCACGCTATAAGCAGTTGCAAGATTGGCAAGAGCGCACCATGCCTAAAGCTATTGTCGGCGGGATAAAGGGCAGGACCATGCCTCAACTCCACACCGCTTTGCGTTTGGATCTTGACGAAGCCCGTGCCCTGCAGCACGACCTCGTAGGTGTAAAACTAGATAAAGCTAAGTGCTTTGACAGGATTATCCCCAGTGTCACTTGTGCCTTATTCCTGGCCTTTGGCCTCCCCAAAAACTTCGTGAACCTGTTTGCCAAAATCTACAGAGGACTTCACCGACATATGTGCTACAAGGGTTGGGTCAATCCACAGGCCACCACCGCTGCCAACGGTGTTGCACAAGGTTGTTCACTTTCACTCGTGGCTGTTAACCTGCACACTAAGGTTTGGGTCCTGCTGATTCAGCACCTTCCGGGAATCGTCATCAGGGCGTATATCGACGACGCTTACTTGTGGTGCAAAATTCAGCACCTCGCGGACCTTCAGCAGGCCATCCAAGTCACTAAATTGTGGGATCAACTCAATGGTCAAAAACTCAATGATTCTAAGTCGGTTATATGGGGTACATCCGGTTCGTCTAGGCATAAGATCCAGCAGGCCTTTCCTGGCATGCACCTCGCGTTGTCCTTTGATGCGCTAGGCACCCGGATTTATACCTCCAATAAGGACGACTTCGGTTTCAGCACCACTACATTGACCAAAGTGTGCGCCACAATTGACTGTATTGGAGCACTCCCACTCCCCATGCGGGTGCGCTCTTATTTGATAGGCGCCAAGGCAATCCCCATGGTTACATATGGGGGTGATATATCCAAGATTCCTAAAAGCAGTCTCCAACGGATTCAGAGCTCTGTCGTCCGGGCACTGTGGAGAGGTCGGGACATGGCTAGATCCAAATGGCTCGTACAGGTATTCCATGGAGCCCCACATCGCACAGACCCCACCATTGCACAGGCCTACAACTGCATCATGGAATTTTGTAGATTCTGCCACCAAAATCCACAGGATGTTCTTCGGCTTAGACAGCTTTGGAAATACCGGGACACATTGAAGTTCTCCCTGATCCAGAACCTTGCGTTAGCATGTGAGGAATTGCACATTCAGCTTGATCAGTCACTTCAGCTGCATTTCCATTCCTCTCAGTCCGTACCCATCAACATGCTTAGCCCACATGACCTGGCCGCAGGCCTCAACCACATTGCAAGGCAGCGTGCATACCAGAATGCTGATATCACCACACGTAAGGACTTCTTTACCCCACAGGGGCTGCTTGATTTCCACACCACCACTAAATTCTTGAAAAAGCCCACTTTTCAAACACCTGGTCCGCCATCGGCCCAAGTTCGTGCTGAATCAACTATTGTTGGCTGCACCCTAACGAAAGACCGACTTTTCGCGGCTGGGTGGTGCTCCACGCACCAATGCAGGTTTTGTGGCACTTGCAAAGAGTCTTTGTTTCATTTGGTTCATGAGTGCATTGCGTATCACAATGCTGCCTCACCACCATGTTTGCATGAGCTTGGAAGTAACTTCGCACTAGTCGGCCACGTCGAGCATCCCTATCGACTCACAGCCTTTCGTCTCCAGTATGCATATGCTGATCCCGCCGCCGCAGTCACGTTCGTGCCAGGCGATGACACTCAGGAACTTTGGACAGACGGATCAGTCCAGTGGCAGGAGTGCTTCTGGTTAACAACGGCTGCTTTCGCCATTGTAGACAAGCAAGGACATCTTGTACACAGCGGCAGAGTCAAGAGGTGGAACCTGTCCAGCTTCGTTGCCGAGTTGTGGGCCGTGTGGCACGCCTTTGCTCAGTCAAGGTGTGCTGTGATCGTGTACTGTGACAATCAAGCCGTCGTACGTACTTTCCAACGCCTTGTTCTTACACGGACTGTTGGTCCTTCATGGAGATGTCGTGATTGGTGGACCGCCATCCTGAGTTTGTACGAGGAACGGTGCTTACAACATGCAGCACCGTTGCAAATTCAGTGGATACCTGCACACGTTCAGGAAGACATGCCGGCTCATTTACTTACCTCAGCTGCCGCTGTGCAAGCCGGTACAACTCTAGAACATATTGTTCACAACCGCATTGCCGATCACGAGGCCAAGAAATGTGCACTTCGGATCGCACCGGTTTTTCCACAGATTGTGAAAAGCATGTACGCAGCCGCCATGCTTCACCAAGAGTGGCTTGTCAAATTGCACTGCCAACTTGATACACATGCAGACGTGGCGCCTTCACACGCTACCACCATCGAGGACAAGCCAGTCGTTCAGACAATTGCTCAAGCAAGGCTGCAATTTCCTGCTTGGGAATGGTCCGCAACACAAGGGGTTTTCCGCTGGCGACCCAAGATTCCGAGAACACTGGACCCACCGTCACGGTGGCGTTACAAGTCAGCTGACTGGGAGTCCGTGTGCAAATTTGCCAGTGGGCTTCAATGGAAGTGCGAAAAAGCGGCCTCATTCGCCTTCTGTGAACTTGGCATTCTTTTCCATAACAGAGGTTTTCGGATACAGGGTGACTATAGCACGATCACTATTCACTCTGTAGTTTGTGTCATCAGGCAAGCTTTCCAATATCTTGCCAAGAATCCGGGTGTACAGCCTTTCCCTGGACACTTTGACCCCCGCTATGTGAAGTGTGCGGGCAAAGTTTTATGTCAGAGTGCCATTGTAGATGCAGTGCCATGGCTTTCGGATGACGTGCTGTTAGCTGTGGCCACGACTTTGAACAACGGGCCGGGGCGGACCATTGAGTCCTGGCGTGTTCCCTTTTTGTAGTTCGGTTGTTTGCTTCTGTGCAGGGGTTCTCGTATGTTCAGCCCAGAGTGGCTGGCATACCGCCGACGCTTCTCACCGGATCGTGCGGCGCGAGAGGTATAGGTATATACAGTATACACATCTATCATCATCTATCTACCTGCCCCAGCCAACTGCACTGGTTCCCAAGGCAGCCTTTCTTCCGCTGGAACGCGGTTCCGCCGGACCGGTCCCTCATCGATCACGTCCCGCCTCCTCAGCGCCCTGGGACGCCACATAGGCCGAGAAGATCAAAGGCAACACCCGGGAGACCCGCTCCGCGATGATCTGTGGCGAGTCTTGGAGATCGAATCCCCAAAAAAAGCACGGAAGAAAGTGAAGGACTGCAGGGGTTTACGATATGATTTATGGACAATTGTGGCATGGCGCGAGTGCAAGAAAGTCTGTTCGGCATGAGGGCGTGCAAGGTGTGCGATGCTCATTCTCAACAAGGAACTTATAAAATTGGATGATATTAAATTAAATATATATATATTGTTTACATATATACATATATACTATAAATTATAAATGTAATTGGATATAATTGGTAATGTATCCACAAATTGGGGAACCCAGTCAGGTACTTGCGGCCCTGGGGACAAAGGGCCCAAATGCCGCCATGATTTCAGAAGAGTAAGGGACTTGTACACAGCCCTTCTAGGGACTTTCTGTGGCCTTTTTCCATTTCAGTGGTGTCAAACGACTCATTTAGTGACTCAGCTCGACCGACCTTGCCGGGGCTGGTGCATGCGCCATGCGCCTCGCCATGCTCCCCATGCCCATCGCATGCGATGCCTGCGAAAACACTCACTCCCCAGGTATCCCCAGGTGCAAAGTAGTTTCACGTGTTCCAGCTGTTGGTAGCTTGGATTCATAATGGTCCCACTTTTAAGATTAATTATCCTTTAACTGTGTTTGGTCTGAGACTTTGGCTAGTCAGCTAACACTAACAGGAAGCCACGCATTCTTGACAACACACAGTGCTCCTTGTACCTAAGTGGATTGGTGGATTTTGACGGTAACTTAAGGTTTGCAAAAATGCCAGCTGGACTTGACCCGACCAAACAGCAACACTGGAATTTTCCTAGCAGCACTCCTCTGTCCACAGGTTGTGAGTTCATAGACTGAGCCCTCCCTGATTTAATGCACAAAGGCCCTGTTCAGTTCCATAAGCCTTAAGCTAATCTCTTCAAACGAGTTGCCGCCATGCACGTGCATGCTGAAGAAGTCTACAACATGTGCTTCACAACTCCTAGAAAGAGTTTCACAACATGCCCTAAAGAGATTCCTACTAACAAGACCAGTCGAAAGCATCCACGAACCACCTGCTAAAGTTCGAACGACCTCACCAAACCTGTCAACGACCTGCATGTCCCTGGCTGCCTTCCCACTTGACCATTGTCAATCCCAAAACCGTCTCTCCAAACTTGCTTCCTGGTTTCTGCACATTCCTGCACTCCCAAACAATTAGTTCGCCACACCCCAATTGAGTCCTTGTAAGATACTATATTGTGATATTGTGTAACTGTTATGCGTATGGTATGCATGCAAACAACTTCGTACGACATTCGCTTCTGTGCGAAGGCTTCTCAAAGGTGCGGAAGGTGGAAAGCTGAGGCCCACACAAAGGATCCAGCCGCACTGCAAAGTGGTGAAGGAGTAAGAGTCCTAAAAGAGCAACATCGACCAACCGAGTGGCTCGCCCGGTGGTGGAAGCGACATGATGGAGCTTATTTAGATTGGTCTAGCTAGTGGTCTACATCTTTCGTGAGTGAAGAGTACGCATCTCTCCATTAGATTCCTGAAACTACCATAGGTGCTTTGAGCAGTCCAATCCCCCGCAGGTCCTGACCAACCAACGAAAGCCATTCTAAGAGAAAGTAGTGCAGGGTCCAGCGCAAAAGCAGAACTCATCCAAGGTGGGTGTTTGTGGAGGTGGGTGTTTCACTAATAAATGTAGGATCTTGATTAATACACCCCCTTATGAAGAGGTTTTTCATTGGTTTTCAATCCAGATGGGGTTATTGATCAAGAGCCTACATTGCAGTGAGCAAGCTATCGTTGTCCTAAAGTGTGATTACATCGCGCTTACAAGGACAATGATTGCGTGCCCTATGCTACATTGGCCAATACCGATGACCTGGAAAGTTTTGCCATTGAACATCTTGAGTGATCCTTGAAAAGCTTGTAGCAAGAGGATGCAAAAAAGGAATGTTACCTCCTTGGATCTCCTTGGCATAGACGGCATGTACCTCCTAATTTTCCAAACGATCCGATCATTTCGCAACGCTCTCCTGATTCGGGACGCCACTGGTCTTCAGACCTCTGTCGACAACTGTCGGACGGATCGCGCAGTCGATCAGGTGTCGCCGGTTCCATGCAAAGGATCCAGAAGTCTGTAAGGTTTGGGAACCATCAGATACCAGCTACAAGTAAAGGGATCCATACAATTGAACGAGGTCACTATATAGTAATATACAGTATATTATATGGTCAATATAGGTCAATGCAGTGGACGGAGGAATGCCCAAATGTTTGAGGATCTTTGAGGCATTATGTGAAGCCCACCAGGTGTTAGTATTAGCATGTAATAGCACTTTTCAAACATGTTCAAACAAAGGAAAAACAACAAACACACGAACTGTTACAATGTCGCCTGTGCAGGACAACTTTATCAACTAACGGGTGATCATCCGTGTATCTTTTTTCATGTCACCCAAAAAAAAACAGGCGAGGAATTGTAAATGTCCCAGAATTGTAAACGTCTAAGCATGATTAAACATCGATGTTCACCCATATCCGATACCCTTCTGCTGAAACGTTTGTTTCAAGGCAAACTTCCTGCACGACAGAATCCCCCATGCCCACAGCCACCATGCACGCGTACAAAAACTCCTCAGTCTGCCTGCAGATACTTGCTCATATAATATATAGACTGCTAGGGGCTTGCACCAAACCACCAGGCCCAATGTCGAGCTAATCCTCCCGAGGGTCGCCCCAAAAGACGCAAACTTCAAACAGCTTTTGGAAGGTCAGCGGAACCCATTCGCGTTGTCTCACTCCCTCAGTTCCCTGACCGCTGGTCGAGAGGAAGTGCGCCTAAGGAGCAGCGCACTGAGCTGGTGCGAAAGTCGAGTGGACGAGATCGTGAGCAACATCGCGGGAATATGCGGAATAGGTGGGATGTGCCACCTGCTCTGCATGTGACACGTGCTTTAATCACTTTACCTACCAAAAAAAGAACTTATATACTCATCTTAGAATCTAAGTGACCCCTAATGCTGACTTTTTTTTGCGACCTAGACCCTGCTTCGGAACGCTCAGGACGTTCTCCCCAATGCTGAGACCGGCACCGACCAGCCCGGCAACTCGGCTCCCTGGCCTGGGTTGGTGTCGAGCTGCGCTGAAGTTCGTTCCATCTCTGGTGCATTCCTTGTTTTCCTATGCGACTATGTTACTAGTAGCGATGCCCTTGACTATGTTAACTGTTCACATGTCTGACGGTACTCGATTAAGCGCCCGGATCCAAGATCAACATAACGCACCTTTCGCATCCTAAAGCCAACAGTTGATCTTGAGGCTGCACAAGCCAAGCAAGTATACTCTTCCAATGTCAACAAAGTAACCGTAGCCAGCAAAAAATCCATCTAAATATGAGTCCAGATCAGTCCAAATCACTCAATTTGTTCAACACTTCTGTGATATGCTGAGGTCAAAGGAGCTCTTTGCTTTCTGAGGTGAAGGAACAGCAAGCAATCAAAATTGTTCCTCTCTTTGAAGATTGCCAGAGTGGCTCAAAGAATCGCCTTGTAGTGGATTTCGCAGCCCGAATGGGTCCAACTCCCCGCGGGGGAACGAGGTAACTCAGGGCTTCGTCAAGACTATTCAGGATTTCTGGGGAGAACATTTTGGGCCCGTCACAGTACCAATAAGCTTCAGTGGCCATCAGCTGTTGGCAACCACTGCTTTGGCTATCTGTCTCCAATCATTCCCAGATCTACACATCTACACTTGACATTTGCAAAAAAAACCACAACGAGCCCACCGACATCCCACAACACGTCCCCACACCGCGCCAAGGGTTCACCCTCCGACGTCCGACTCCACCGGTCGGTGCGTTCCAGGCACCGAAGTGTCTCACCGGGGAGATGGTGTAAGGCTCCACCGAAGCCCTGGGGAGATGGTGCCGAATAGCTCAAATGGGAAACGCGAACGCAATGGAACAACAACTCCACATGTTGGAATCATTTTCCAAATGTTTGGAGCCTGTTCCAATATGTTCCAACTTCTTGTAGGGACTCCAAATGTTCCGACTTCGAAGTTGGAACATGTTGGAACTCCAAATTGATCCCAACATGCCTGGAGCCCATGGGAAGGATCAAACAAGCAGGATCCAGCAACTGTGGATCAGGGCAGAATCACGTTGCATTGCTATTTCATGACCAGAATCACGTGCTTTGCAAATAGATAGATGCTCCATGTTGTACCTGCATGTACCTGCTGCTTCCAAAAAACAAAAGTGTGTCAGGAGTCCTTTCGAAGGTGAACAAACAGTCAATAGATCTCTAAAGCAAACTATGCAGCCATTCATTCCTGAAAGGAAGCGAGCAAACAGGACAAGAATGGACAAGACCTTCCAGAGTCTCCACAAGATCTGAAAAGCTTCCTACAAAGGGCTCGTTTCCGTGAGCACGACGACCAAAAGGGGCATGAGGGAACTACAACAGCAGGTCATGTTCCGCTCTTGCGTTCAAGCAAAGATCTTCGTACAAGCTTTTGTCCAAGATGTGGCTTTTAAAGCCTGGTAGGACCGGCTAAAGATCTTGGTTCGTGGCTGCCTAAGTGTACCATCACCCAGGACATTACCCAAAGAGGTTCCAATCCCTGAGGTTCCCTTGGGCAAGATTCTCCTTTCCTATCGTCTTTGGCTTGGAGCCTTTGGCATGGAGGCCCCTCCCAAACTGAAGGGATGTCTTGGCCAATGGCTTAAACATGTTGTCTTCTTTTGATTGGATTGGGGTACAATTAGGGTCTCTCACTATGAACAAAGAGACAAACCCCATACCATGTTGTGTAGGTGAAGTCCAGATTCTCGAAAATGATTTCAAATCAGTTTTTAAACCATCAATATGGACTTGTACTGACTTGTAGAAACAGTGGCAACTCCACGTTTTATCATCCCTTTGGAATTCGCACACGACTCGCGGACCGACGGTCCAAACGACTCGCGGACGGACCACCGTTCGACCACTGTACCGTTCGATCCGCGACCGTCGCCTGCTGTAGGCGTGGCCACGCACGTCTTTCGCCCAAGCGTCCAAATCCTCGTTCCGGGTGCGACCCCCCCGGAGGTGTCGGAATGGGGGGATGGGGGAAAGCTCGGAGGCGCTCAGTTCGGCCATGGAGTTCCCAACTGCGTCTGTGGTCCTTGACTTCCCAGAGAGAAAAAATCTCTCAAATCTCAAGTCATGCAAGAGCTTCTGCAACCAGCAGTCAATCACCTCAATCACCAGAACTACATGTCAAATAGTTCCGCGTCACGAACGGTCATGAATGCCCACCATGTCTGCGCATGGCCGAGAACGCGTGACTGTCCTTGTTGGTGATACGTTGCGGCAGCCCCTCTGGGGTCAAGCCTGGAAGGGTTGGCTAGACCAACGGCTGTTGCCTGTCCCTCAAATCTGCTCAAATGGTGCAGGTTCCTAAAGGTTCCTAAGAAATCGTTGATCTGGTCCAGTGATGGATTATTGATCGAGTTGGTTGATCCGAACAAAGCAGAAACACACGGAGGGTCGCAGGATCTTCCGGATGATCTTGAATGTCTCTATATACCCTAAAATCTGATGTTAGTCAATCGAAATATAGTCAATCTACTCTGGCGCTTCGCTGATGCTGGGCGAAATGGTATGCTTGACTCCTTCTCTCATTCTTTAACATGAAGGGCTGCAGGAACATAATGCTTCATGACAACACATCTCAATTGTGCTCAAGATTGCTCAAGGTCATAGCGATCGAATCAACCCCGTCGTCATGCTGCGCATAGGGAAAAAATCTGATTAAGTCCGATATCTGCCATAGGCCAGTGCCGGTGTGCCCGGTTCGCACGCTGATACGGCCCGCCTTGGGAAAACGTCCTACGACCTAGCAAATGACCTTGGCATCAGCAGGGCGAATGAATCTCAATCTGCTTGGGCCGGCAGGGATCTGTTCTCTGGCAGGGTCTGCTTGTGAACAATCCAACATCTTGGAACTTCTGCGTCTCCATGATAAGAAGAACTGACATTGAAGGGTCTAAAAAACAACGGTCCTATGAACGCTTGGCTGCCACAAACATAAGTTCCCTGTGGCCTTGTGGAAAATTTTCTAACACCTCCAGCCTCCAGCTGAATAGTATCAGACCTAATTAGATCAAACAAACGATAAACCATGTTTATTTTCACAGTTTATACTCATACACTGAAAATCAACATCAAACAAACCTTACCTGACCTCAACACATCCCGACAGTGAATGTTCCCCAAATCAGTTTCCCAAAGATGGGCAACAGGTCAACACTCTGGGACCATCACATCGGTCCAAATTTTTGTACCGTGTGCAAAGGAGAACTGAGAGGCAACATGTTGGTTCCTCTTTTTTGTGGATAATTTGGGTTCAGGTTTTGTATCAGCCCGCCGTCCATGGAGACCGTAGACGTGCGAGAACCCCTTGGCGCCATTGGCAACAACGGAATGGACATCCTAAAAACAACACACAAAAATAATGTTCTCCTTCACTCACTTTCTCTTAGCCACCAATGACCAATGTTTTTCTCGTTCAGGCTCTAACTTTGGGCTGGCATCCGCGCGAGCCGGCATGGTGCCTGCATGTGCGTGGAAAATATCAATGTCTTCGAGATCGGTAGATCATGCAAGGTTTGGATTGGTAGTCACCCAAAAATATTTACGAATCACAGTCAACCTATGGCGATCCGTTGATGCGCAGTCAAGCCTAAACTGACAAAAACGGCAAGACTCATCGTCTCCAAAGCGACCGATTACAGGACCACCGGACACCTTTCACCGTTGCTCATACTCATACCTTTGTCGCTCGAGCGCGTCGAACGCGGAAAGCGTCGCCTGAACGCTCCAAGTGCGGAAAGCTCCTTTGCCTCGCGCTTCTCTGCAACATGACGTGTGAGGCCCCAGGGCGCAATGGTCATCAGTCATTTGAATCATATGACTCACAAACTCGCACGTAGATATAATTTGTGGACCTATCTGAGTTAGTGAGGGCAGGATCAAAGTATGGTCTGATGCGGAATCAAGTTCTGAAGGGGTCTATTTATATAATTGGATATTATGTTTTGTAAATGTCTCGGTGTTCCTTCTACCGGCGACGAAAAAGATATTACATATTTACAAATACATCGAAAAATATTTTGGGCCCCCTGTGCGCAAACTCTCGCTCCATTTTTGGTTGCAAGATGAAAGCGTGAACTTTGCATCGTCCCAACCTGCCGGACAAAAAACACCCTCCATATAAGGAAGAGATGTTTCCCTGGTGCTCATGTGCCTTTCTAAAACAAATGAGAAGTGCCACATCATATAACTATAAAATTGCCGAAACATTGTTCATGTGCGAAGCCTAAAACTGGCGATGCATCCGGTGTTTAAAGACCTCTACATCGCTGTCCGTCACGAGAAGCCTGGCAGTCAGGCAGATGCTGGCTGCGGATCCATCGTCACAAAAGATCGCTGCTTCATAAGCTTTGGCGGCCGCCACTTTTGGCAGCGGCTCTTTTGCCTCCAGCATCGCCCACCGAACTACTGCCAATACGAGCTTTAACTCCTGTGATCTTTCGCTCCCGCCGTTGAAGTCAAAAGAGAAGCGCCGTTCAACGCCTTGCCCTCACGGCCCTCGTGATTAGGTTTGAAAACCGTGTTCCACTCCGTGCTTTTTCTATCCGAACTACTTTTCGATGGTCTTTAGGAAGATCTGTCTTAAGGCCACGCGATGTCTAGTCGAAGAATCTCATCCGGCTCGGGATGGGCCTGGAAAGCTCGACCGCGACGTTCCTGCATTGGACTGCGAAGGCCGCCGGAATAAGCACTGGAATCTGAGCTGAGCTGCTGAGGTTTGGTAAATCTGGCGCCAACCACCTACGACCTCTTTGAGATGTCACACAGAGCTGATCAAGTCAAGCGCTACTCCGTTCCATTCTGTTCAATCTGTTTTGAGCGCAACAGACATGTCGCCAAGGCTGCCTTGCTCTCCATGTTGGCGAAATCAACCAAAAAGGCCTCTGGTCAAAGCAATTCCAATGAACGTCCATTTCTTCAAGAGAAACCCCGGCTCCCAGAAGAAGTGCCGCAAAATCATAGCAGCAAATCGCCCGGGCCGTGAGCTCGAACAGCGACAGCAGACAGCCTGCGATGGATTCTCTTCCACCAGATCCCTCCCTTTCATGTTTCGCTTTCACGACGTGAACGCTGACTGACTCAACTCCGGCAAGCCTTGCTTGATCAACTGCTTGTTGGTGCTTCTTCAAGCAGACTTGCTTGTCATTGTTCCAGCGTCTTTTGATCGCAGCATCTGTCCGCTTGATCTGGTCAGGAGTTCTCCACTTCACCTTTGGCCATGCCCACGGCAGATGATGCCGCCGCTGCAAGAGGGGTGCATCCTCACATTGTGCAAGCACTTTGTTTCTTCCGTACTCCACGTTCCATCAGACATGCATCCGGTCCACGAAGTATGTACCATGATTCGGGGCACCAGGTTTTAGAACAGCCTTCAGCATTTGTTCAGACTCCAGAGTTCCTTTGTGGCCAACATTTTGAGCAGGCTTTTGCACACCCACATTTATGATTCACTCATCACATTCTTTGGAGCCAGTGCGCTCAAGACTCAAGAGCTTCAGCGCAGGCACATCAAATCTGGAGGTAGAGTGCTGCAAGCATTTTCCCGGCTCATGGCTGGTCGCACCAAGAACTTCAAGTTGGAGGCTGTCCTTGTATCATGCTACCTTCACACACCACTAGGCTGGTAGCAATCCGTGCAGCTTGGTCCAGGGTGCAACTCCACAATGGCTTTGTAATGCCTGTGATGTTCAGAGCCGAGACTGGTAGCTGCAGTCCGGCAGCAAGTTGCGGAGAGATTCAGCACTGAAAGCTATCACATCAAGAAGATGTTTTAGTGGCCAAAGCAGCCCAGTATGTCGTTTCTTTCAGGAACAAACTCTTAAAGGCATCGCTTCCAACAGGTCACCATAGCGGTTTTCATGCGTTGTCAGGAATGTTTCATGCACATCCTCTATATAATACTGAGTATTCTGTCCGTCCCTTGTAGCCCGGCAATTGCCTTAAGCCCTATGCAAAAAGCCAGCCCGCGGGATGAGCAGCCAGCAAACGGCCACGGCAAGACGGCGACAGGGAAAAACACCACAATTTAACACAAAATGCACAACACCGCAACTAAGTTATACGTATATACGTTTTAATATATTTTTGTAAAAAACAAAAAACACAGTGATGCAATGTCATGCACAAAAGGATTACAGTATGTACGATAAAACCCTCCTACGGACCATGGCATAAACATACATAAACCATCATAAACCCTACACTGAGCCGCCCACTACTCACGTTGCTGGAACAAACCTTCCTTTTTTTCCATGATCTCCTCAAATTCCGGCAATTTGGGGCTGGCCTCAAGCTCCAAATACGACCTACCCTCGTCCACTGTTTTGGAGATGTTTGGAGCTTGAACGTCTGGGCTCTCGCCCGACGAGTTCGAGTACCTGATGCAGTGTCAATTTGGATGGAAGGAGTCAAACAAGCCCTTGGACCTGGCATACGAGTCAGTCCCTCTTCAGATGGTTCGTGTTTCTAGAACCATCTGGAAAAAGGTTGGGGAAAGTAGAGAGAAGCATCGGGGGAGTCACCACCCTGCCCTGTTTCTTCATCCCTCCTTGAACAACCCCATCGGCCCATCAAACTCACTCGGACATTCCCGGTGTTGGGGGATCTCGGATCGAAAACCAATCTGGGACCAATAGCATCATTGATCCCATTTGGTATTGGAGCCAAAGGAAGGAATTTTTTTTTGAGCTCTGTCCCGACCGAACAACTGTAGTCCAGGAGTCCATGAATCATTTTGAAGCTCAACGTGACGAGCAAACGCTTGGTCTCCCAAATCTTCCACTCCAGGGAGACTAAGCACGGTTTCGTACCACCGAGCGCAAGAAGCCTCAAGAAGTCAAGGACGGAGAAACATCATTGTTATTCCTTCCTAAGGTGGCGCTTTTGCTACCATTGGTTGGTTGTTTTTTCTAAGGTTCATCCAAATCCAACACTCCGACTCACACCTGCGCAGCAAACTGGCCGCAGCAGCCCTGGCCGCGGCCGCGGGTGACCCGGTTGCAGGAGGCCGGTTGGATGACGGAGAGTTCCTTGTAAGGTTGGACTCAACAGGACCTAAAAAAGCAGCATTGGTCGGTGGCTGAAAGGGAAAACGATCCAAAATATTAACAGTATTCTTGTGGTCTATATTGCCTACAACACCTCCAAACCCAGCTGACATTCCCTTGAAGTCTTTGCTGATAGTCCGATGTTTGCAATCCCATGTCCAATGCCAACGTTCCCTTACTGCAAAAAATTACTGCCAAAAAAACAGGCATTACGATGAATGGGATCAGAATTCTTCTCGGTATGTACCCCTTCGGCGGACACTCTCTTCAGCACCTTGCATGGAGCATGGACGCCCGAGCCGCCGCAGAAGGGCCCGTGCCAATGCGAAACAGTGATGTGTTGTTTTCACTGCTGGGTTGGAGGGGCAACTCCCCAGTTGATCCTCTCCAGGGTGCTTCGCCGAAGTGAACTTTACAGTATTATATACAGATCCTGAGTACACAAAAAAATCTGAAAAACTCGCAGGCAGTAATTAACACCTGCGGCCTGCGGCTCACTTTTTATTGAACCCCGAGTGTTTTCTGTTGGGTTTTATTGTCTTGTGGTGATGCTTTACGGTGCTTTCGTCTGTGTCAACCATGGGTGGCTGCTCGCCGGTGGTCCGGTCAACAACTTGCTCTGCGAAACCAAAGTTGCTACTGCCTGAGGAGGGGAGGAAATGAATGAAATGAACCAAGCAATGCCATTGCTGCTTTTCAGGGAACACAACAATTTTAGCCAGTGCTAACCTTGAGTCAAACATGGAAGCAGGGATGCCAAAGCTTTACTTTACCTGTTCTGGCGACCAATGTGGTCGGAAGACTTCTTCCAGTTTAGAAGGCTCTTGAAGATTGCAGGATTTTAATTAGATGTGTTTAAATGTTTCAGATGTGTTCTTCCTGGAATAACCCAAAACAACCAGTCTATCATGGCCATCAGCTGTCTTCCACGGGTCTCTTCTCACTGTTGAGCTGGAGGAAAAACAATCCGGCAAAATGGACACGATCTCGGATTTTGTCTGGAGATCCTCACCCAAATTTGCACTTAGATGGAGAAACTCGATGTTTCTCGACCAACACTGCGTGCACATCGATGAACGGAACGAAGTGAAATCACGTGAACGCCCCAAGCAGGGCACGTGCAGGGCACGGGAGTCCAAACTTTGCCTCCCAAGGTTCGCAAGCCAAGTCCACAAACAAGGTAGGTCGAGTCTTCGACCTGACCAAATTGACGAATATCATGTCTGTGGTACCCATGGCAATTCAAACATGAACACACATCCAAACCCCCGACACAGGCTTCAAAAGGCACCGAAAGCAATCGAACATTGAAGTAGCTAGATTTCGACTTCTGCAACCCCAAAGGGGAGGCAGTGCAAAACATGGAAGTGAAATAGCAAGAAGGACGAGAGCAACGGAAAAGGCACCGCAAAGTAGAGCAAAGGAAAAGCCGTCGGATGCCAAGCGGAAGTGGGGAACACAGGACGAGTGTGGCTCCCAGAGAGTGCGTCAATGTGCGTACGTGTGGACTGTGGACCAATGAGCACGTATGATCTATGAATATCTATGATCTGTATGAGTAGGTGAGGTGAGTGGGTAAGCAAACCAGTGTGCAAAAGGAGTGGAATGATGTGGAATGCAAACATCTGAAGGCAGTGTAGAGATCTTGAGAAGCAGCAACAAAGACCGAGAACATTTTGGAATATGACAATTATTTTGCTTTCTCCGGGTGTTTTCAAATGTGTTCAATATTCTACACACAAAATTCATGTCTGACTCTTCACTCTTCCTCCAGTTTGCCTGGTACACTGCAGTCTTCATGAACCAACTTGGGTCATTACTTGTAGACCCAAAGACAGATCAGAAGCTTCTTTAACCGAAGAAACTCTCGCAAACCGAAGTCATGTTGGTGCAAAAAATGGATGCAAGTTTGAGATGGTTTGAGTCCGTTTGAGCCAACGACAACGTCCGTTTGAGCTCTCGACGTCAGTGCAACATGTGTGCGCATGTGTTGCGGAAGAGTCTAGAGTCTATCAGGGTAGCAACCTAAGCGCCCTCTGCAACCTGCCCTGGCTTTCTCAACATCACAGCGATAACGTTTGCACTTTGACATAGCCCGTTTGATATCGCTTGTTGAGGATGTTCGGACCGCCCTCTGCTTCACCTCACGACCTCGGTCCTTTTTGGGCGCCCAGCTCTCAGTCTCCCTTTAGGGGATCGGACATTCTGGACGGTCAAGGCCCTAAGCAAGACTGCTGCTTGCCTTTGGAGATGCCAGCTCATTAAAGTAAGCAACTTTGATGAAGTAAGATCAAAGCAAATCAAATATGTAGTTGAATTTATAATGGAATTTAGAATGACACCATATATTGTATCCAGCAATTCCCGGATCTACATTAATCACCATTTCCCTACCAAAAAGCAACATGCACTCTTTCCTTTGTCTTGACCTCTGGATAGTGGCAAAGGCAGAACTCACCCACAATCCGGCATTTGGCACAACATCTCAAGTATGTGGCTTTGGGATGCTTTGGCTAATAGCGCGTGATTCCGGGATTCCAGTCAGGCCTTCTGAACCAGGAAAGTCAGTTGTCTTCTGAACCCCTCTGTGAGGGCTACGAGTCAGAGCTCCATTGTCCATCTCCAATTGACTTTCTTTCCCCCGACGCCATTCCAAGTCACCCGGCGCCTTCACCAGCGCAGCTGGGTCTACGAGTTGATCGATCAACCCTCTTCAGTTGCAATGGAAACATGCTGTAAGAATGTGAAAAGTTCTTGCTTTAAACATGGCCCTGTGCTGGTCACTCAAAAAAACATGGCCCTGGCCCACTGTTTTCAAACATTGCTGTACCACCAACGGTTCACGGTCGTCTTGAAGAGTTTGGATGAACCTTTCTCCACGGCTTTCTCAAACGACCATCAACCTCGATGGCAGCAAAGCTGCAGCTCCTGGTCTCCCAGAAACCAGGAGATCAGGGATTTGTGTTAATTCTGGACATATTGAATATCATCCACGGAACCTGCTTTGAGGATTCTAGAAGTTTGGACTCTAAGTTTGTCTGATCATCCGCGAGAGAGCCTGATGCAGAGACAAAAATTGCAATGTTCAGGAGGAAACACTGCCTCCTTAGCCAGGAATTGAGGTTCTATTCTAAGCTTCCAATGAAAGATACATATAAAACTACTATAGATATATATGTATATGTATCCGCCATCAAAATGGGTCGTACAATATTTTCTCCCCCACTTCGCCCAAAGGGGTCCAGCCCGTTCCCGTTGAGTCAATGCTCCGTTTGCCAAAGGAGCTGGCCGGTTACACTCCGACTGGCAGGTTGACCGACCAATTGTGGGGATTCAGGGTTAACGATGTCAATGCAGGTCAGTAATATACCTCCCTAGGGATCCAAGTACCTCCTCAAAAAAAGGTACTTGGACCCTCCAAACCTACATAGCGGTGTCTCCAATCACCTGCTGAGAAAGTACTTGGATCCCTAGGGCCTACATTGACATTATACAAAGAAACATATGTAGTTATATATATATATAGTAACCAGCACCACGGAAAGGATAGTTATTGGATAGAAAATACGTCTTCAGGGGAGTCTATAACCACCTTTTGGGTGGTGCTGGTATATATGATTTTTTTTGCGCATGTACGGGCTAGTTGTTCCCAAACATCTTAAGGGCCATTAAGGCCCCTTTTGCCAAACCTCTGAGTTGTTTCGGCAAGGCACCCTTGGGCCCGAAGGGATTGCTTGGGCAACAACAAGGACCTAAAGTTGTGCTCTCAGTTTGATCGACCATTTGGAGGTGCGTTCTTTTTTCAACGACCATGTGCGACCCAAAACCCCGGTCCCCTCGCAGATGGGCATCGAATCTGCTCGGCCGTCACTCGAGAAAAGGCACATCCGAAGCCTGGCGACGTTCCGACCGCCCGGCCGGGAGACCACCACGGACCACGGGGGAGGAGACTCAGTGCGGACTCATGGGTGGGACATGCGTTAACATGGGTGGGACCCAAAACCATCAAACAGCTAGACTCTCACACTTCGGAATGCATCATGTATCATCTGCTTCGGAGCCATGAATGAGCCCCTAGCGACCCTATAGCGGTCTCAAATTTCCCTTTGTCAAGACCCAGCTTGATCCCACCTAGCAACCTTCCCAAGTTGACCATAGCTGACCATAGTTGACCGAAGAGAGATGCACACCCTTTTCGTGTGCGTTCGACCCATGCCGCATCGTCGCCCGTGCCACATTCCGCCCGTTCCGCATCCGAAAAGGGCACACCTTGCTATTCCTCCTTGGCGCCGTGGTCTCTTTCGAGGCTTGTTGGAGCTCGTGGTCTTCACGCGACGACGACGACGAGGGTCTTCGCTCAGCACTCTTGTACTCCGAGAAGACCGACTCGGGGATGCAACCTGCGGTCTCCGGTCTGCGTGGCGGTCTCCGGTTCCGTGAGCTTGCTTTCCTTCTTTGCCCATACAATTCTGTCACTAAACCTTGTGAATTCTTGTGTGGCGAGATGGCTTACACTTCTCCACACTTCTCCAACAAGTTCTGGGCTTCGGGTCGTCTGGTAGAGCATCGTAGCACTTCAGCGGGTCGACCGACCTACTGATCGGTGGTAACCCGCACTCATTGGACTGTCTGGGAGTGGCACATCGCTTGGGGAATACCGTATCCGACACAACACACAAATGGTACACGAAACATCGTGATCATCATGCCAACCCTGATCCGACCGTGTGCTTCTTCTACCCCTGCGAGACTGTGCATCTTTGCCCAGAAAATCATAGCAAAGGTACCGGGATGAACACCAAAGTGCGTGATGCCTGCTGCTGATAACAAAACTCTCCGCCCACGCCCAGTCTCCCTTTTGCAGACAAGGGAACTGATGCGACAAATCCTGGGCCCAACGCACCAACACAGGATCAAAGTCATTCAAAATCCATGACGCAAAAGAATTTCCCCAGCACCATTCTCACACGCTCTTCTTTTCTCACAGGGATCATGGACCTTGAACTTCCCCCCAGAACGGACACGGGACTCTCCCCTTAGGCCCTCGGACCCGCAATACCCCGCACCTACGAGCGTGTGTGCCACACCACCAGCTGCACCACTTGGACTTGAGCCACTCAAACACCACTGTACATGTTGAATCTCTTGTGGTTTTCTGCCTTTCAAATGGTCAAGGTTTCTTTACTTCAATGTTCCAGTGGTCCAACTTATTCCCGCTGCCCGAGTCGCTGATGGATGTCGAGCCCTGCCGCATTCCGTGCAGTCATGTCAGCGCCCGCGCGTGACAACGTCTCCACCACCTGCGCCATGCGACGGCGATGGAAGTTTTCCACAGTGGAAGCCGGCCGACGGGTGGCGTGTTGGTTTGTTGCACATTGATGAGTCACGGATGGCAACCACAGGAAGACCCAACATGAAGATGCCATGGCTCCCCTACGTGACCAATGAGATGCAAATTCCACAGGGGGTGTTATGACTCACATCTTGGAAAGTTTCCAGGTGGGTTGTGAGGCTTCCCCGCTGAGCTGCCCACAACTGAATCTGGATCAATTGGTCGCTGGTCAAGCCGAACCAACCAAACAATTGAAGGGTCTAATCTAAGCAGAATTGTCTATCTGATCCAATCCAAACGAAAGCTTATGGCGATCCACGCATAGATATATTCTACAGTATACAGCGGACATCAGCCATATAGTATATAGGAAACATCAAGAACATAAAAAGAGCAAAACATGTGTTTTATGTGACCAATCACCACTCCTCTGAATTGATAACCCTTGGCTCGTCACGTCCAAAACACCCAACCGTGCGCCTTGGCATTGCCCAAGGCTGCAGCCGCCAGCACCGGTGTGGAGCCTTGGCCCAACGAGAACAAGCGCCGCAGCGTGGAACTCCGGAGTTGCCCAAAGACCTCGGCACAGCGCAGCGCTGGAGCTGGGAGGAGCGGAGAGAGAGAGAGCACGGTCAAATTAGCTCAAAATAGCCGGCAGGTCCAAGGTCGTGTACAGAATTCTCAAGTCTCTCTACAGGTCTGGTCTCCTCCAAAAGAAACACCTGGACTTCTCAATTCACCAAAGCCATGCTTGGCCTGCTATGCATCTGTAGATTTTGGTGAAGAGATGGTCTAAAGACAGGGCCTGATGATCGATGACTCGTCTTCATCTGCGCAACATCCGGACAGTCACTTTTTTGGTCTACAACATACGCGATAATATTCTATTCATGGCTGGATGGTTCTTTCATGTTCTTTCATCCACTGAACCATAAACCCTAAACCTCATCGTTGCTTCACGCCCCACGGAACCTCATCGACATGTCTCGACCGGTTTCACGGTCGTCCTGACAGGTTCTGAAAAAAGCCCAGAGGCCATGTAAGGTCCAGCCTTGGACCAGCGATTGAAGTGGCACACAGTGTTGATCTCCAAGCCTCCGCCAACACGGTTCCCCGGCCACACCGCCGTTCCCACGCCACGCCGGAACCCCGCGTGTGCCACAGCCCGAACGAAGGATCCAACGTGGGGCCAGGCGCCAGGGGATCTTTCCCAGACCATCCACTGTCTGGAAGAGTTACATACATTTACCATACATTTATCCAATTTACCCCAATGTAGGTAACTACTCCATACATGGATGGTCCGAGTGTGGACATGTTGTTTCCTTCTGTCCTTCTGCACCCATTGCGCAAGCTGAGCGCTGCAATTTGGGCCACCAAGGTCTGGAAAAGGGGCAAAAAAACCTTCGGTGGCAGACCGGTGCTGTGGCTGCGGTGTTTGGTCTCCACATGATATGTCATTTGTTTGACTTCTGTGTTGTAGGTGTCGCAAACGCTTTGTCTTTGGCCAGCGCAAGAGGAAAAGAGGACTTCTGACACACACATATATACGGATCCGCATGCGATCGTTGTGAAGCAGGAGTACCACAATGGGGCAAGTCCGGCCAATGCGATGCATGTCTTACTTACAAGTGCTACTGAGGCGTTTGTTGTTCTTCTTGGGTGAATCCAAGCGGGAAATGTAAGGAACTTGACCAAGTCCTTGCCCCCTTTGGATGGTCCACCAATAATTTATGTAGCTGATGTTCTGTTTTGCCAGGTCAGACTCAGTTGGTGCTGTATTGCATTGTCAAATAGAAAAGTGTTCGATCCAAGTTGTATTCTTTCCATGTCCTGAGATAAATACCCTCAGTATCCCTCAGTCCTAGGTTTGATAGTCATGAATCATGAATATCGTTGCTTTCATCAATTCCACCATGTGCAAGGTGACTTCACCACCTTGACTTCACAACCTTGGACCTCAATTTACCAATGAGTCTCATGGATTTCCAACTGGCGACCTCGGTGCCAGTCTCACCTCTGCGGACCGTCTCACCGGCTCGGCCTTCGCCCAGCAAGCGCTCCAAGGAGTTCGCTGAGCTGGTGAGGCCCAAGAAGTGCAAGGCGCTCAAACCAGCCCATTGGTGCGTCACATCTGCACGGGCGTTCAACAGTGGCTCCACCTCGTTCAACAGCCAGCTGAGAAAGACAACAAACACGACTGAACGACCGCACGACGTACGTGCCCGCAGTGGAAAAAGGACACACAGAAAATCAATCCACATTGGATAAGCCTGAAAATCAGTGGTTCGTACTTGAAACATCCCATATATGATGTTTTTCTGGTGGATCCTCCACCAAAAATGTGGCTCAGGTACCCTTGAAAACAAGATCCGGATAAGTCGAAGTCTTTGCTCGACAATACGTGGGGTCTGAAAATCAAGAGCATGTTCATCCGGACTACAGAATGTGTGACATGATAAGCTAGAAAACGATGCCATGGAACATGTAATGTAAGTTCAATATTCTATAGATGATATATGATGATATGGTGTTGCTGTAAGTAAGTCAAAAAAACACAACATTATATGAATCATGATCAACATCTTCGGCGACACCACCAACTGCATCAGAACAACAATGATTGTCTTGGATTTCCTCCGCTTGGCCAATTCCTTAAGGGGGAATCTCCTTCACTGTATACTGCTAAGATTTCCTTCCTTCACTCGTCCCCAAAACCGAACCATCCCGTATATCCAATAGCGATGGCCTCCAAGCTACTAGCGGCGATGGCCTCCAAGCTACTAAAGCGACCCTGGAAACCAACATCTCGTGTGGTCACCAAGCAGTGACCGGTTTTCCGGCACAACACGCGACCCTCGACGGGACCACGCCGAGGGCACCAAATGCTCTGCATCATTGGCGAGAGCAAAGGTCAAGGGCCGGCAGCCCATGCAGTCTTCCGCATTGGGGTCAGCGATCTGCGACATGCTTGGTGAAAACACGAATGGGAAACCCCCACAAGGTCTTTCAGGGGGTTGTGGGGGTCTGAAGGCTTTTCAAAAGACCAACGCAGAAAAACAATGCTGCAAAGAATTCCCAGGGAGTCCGTTCCGCTGGTTGCTGCTGAAGCGAAGTTCCGATCTCCCAGCGTTGAACGTCCTAGGGTCTCCCAATGGGTTGAAATGCTTGATGTTCCTCAACTGGACATTTCTCCATGGGACTGATGCGGACTGGCCAACACAAATGAGGATCTGGACACCCAAAACTCCACTCGGTGCAAGCCATGCAAAAGCACCTGAGCCCCTTCAACCTTCTTTTTTTGCAGGAGCTTGGGTGGTCTCCAAGGCTTGTTGAAATCGTTGGTTGTTGGCCTACACTTCATCCAAGCTCGGGAAAGGGGATCTGCTCCGATTTTCTGCCATGCAGGTCGGAATTGGACAAAAGAAATGGTCGCGAGGGCTTTGACTCTCAGTCAATCTTGGTCCTAAAGTTCAGTTTTCTTTGCAAATTAACTCAGCGATGTTGTCCAGTCAGCTGTGTGCAGTGTTGGCCACCTCTGTTTTTGTGCAACAGTGCTCTG